AGTTTTTTTTTAATTCCCAAAAATCGCCCTTTTTTAGGCGGTCACACTAAGTATGTCTCTTAAGGATGTTTCTTTTACTATTTTGGTTATAAACATGGATGAAATCGGCTCATACCTTTACCAAGATTACAAAAATCGAATATGCATATACAGATAAATATATGGAATATCTTAAAAAATTTGGTGAGAAGATTTTGTTCAGCATATTGAAATTTAGTACCATAAATTATAGAAATCGGTCCGCAGTTTCTTTTTCCTGCTCTCTGCAATGCTTAAAATAGTTTATAATATCAGAATTTACGCGACCGAGATTTTTTCTTACATACAAATACTCAAATTATAAAATTTAAATTTTAACAAAAATCATAATAGATTTTTTGTGTATTTTTCTTTAGTTTTAAAAGAGAAATTTGTATGAAATGATACAAATGTTTAATAGACTTATTTCTTCTAGTTATACAAAGGTGTATTTAGTAACGGTTTATAGGTCTTTCAACGAGAGAATAATGCTCAGATTTTTTATGAGATACTCTACTTGTAAAATTTTTAAATAAAAAGTCGAAAATACTCAGAAATAAATGTGTTGCATTAAGTCTATAATTTCTCTAACAAGCGCACGCTTTACAAAACCTAGACCTCACTTTTGCTTTCAATAGCATTTTATTATTTTTTCAAATTTAAATTATGATTATGCCGCTATCATAAAGGTGCACTAACACACTGACAAACAATACTATAAGTAGATGCATATTTTCATGGCTCTTTCAGTGGATTGTAGGCCCATTATAACAGTTGCACTTTCACTGATATTCACTGATGCCATCACACTCACAAGTGCCACCAAAGCAAAAACAATGTGAAATCGAAAATAACAATAAGTTAACAACGACAATCAAGCAGCAATAAGTAGCAACAGCGTAACCGTCAGCAAAACAAAATCTCCCCCGACGTCATCGTCATTAACAACATCAACACGATCATTATTGATCCATGTTGGGACTCATTTGTGTCACTTGAGTCAACCAAATCGAGTAGTTAAACACACCACAACGACGCTGGAGAGATTTTCAAAGATTAATTGTTGCTGTGGAAACTGAGTTATTTACATATGAATTTATATTAGCTATGTTAATATGTATGTCTAAACACATTAATACAAACTTTTTGCAATAAGACAGAGCGAAAATGTTTTGTAAGCATTTCTAGCTTGTAGTATGGGTGTGTGTGTGTGGTGAGCGTTTGAAAATGAAAAGTAATGAATAGTTTTTTATCTATGACTATTTTTTCGTAATCGTAAGTGGAAAATTAACGGTAAACATTTAATGCATTTGCTTACCGACATGCAGATATAAGTGTGTGTGTTTTTTAACGCAGACTAACAATTACTTGAGGGACGCATTAAGATGTAAACTTACGCAACTTACGCAATAGGCAAAAAGTGTGTGTGCATTGTATCATATTTCAATAGCTCGTATGATCATTATGAAAATCGTTAGCGTTTAGCGTTTATTTAAAACAATGATATAAAAGAAAGAAAAGATATAAATAAACATAAAAGCGACTATTTGATTAATGTAGTATGTGTGTAATGGTTTGTATCGCCAAGAGGCATGCCAAGCATTTATGCCTTATTAAAACTAAACTTTATTTTTTCAGCCAGACAATTATTGCTCAAAATTTAAATTATATTTTGTTTTTTCTATTTTTCCATTATGTAAAATTGCTAATCATTTTTTTTCTAGTCAAAAACTATAATTATTGTTTTTATTGACGCCTTCATAACCGATTAAAATATATGCACAAATGTATATAGTACATGCATAAATATTTGTGCATTGGCACCGGTGGAAAGCTTAATGGTTTTTCTTTCAAATGAAATACCTCGATTTCGAAATTTGAATCAATTTAATTTTTAAACAGTAAATGAGATACTTTGGTAATATGAAAATGCGAAAAGAAAGTAAATTTTAATTTGGTGTTTGCATAAAAATTTGAAAAATTTTGAAAAGTTACTATATTACATATACACACACACATCTATATATGTATGTGATATTATTAAATTCATTTCATTTCATATACTTGTAGTTAGACTCATAATTTAGCAACATGATAAAAAAATTGTTTGAAAATAAATTGAATTGAAAATTAGTACCTGGAGGATAAGAATATTTAGAGTTTAAGTCACAGAATTACAGTCGATTCGATCACGCTCAGAAGTTTAAAAAATACTAAGAGATTTGAACATGTTGGTTAACCTTTTTGATGTTTAAGATATAATATCATAAATGCACAATTTGCATACTCTGAGCAGGGTAATTAAATTTTTTATTTGACAAGACATCTTCAAGAAATTTAGCATGAGTTATTCCCTTAGGCAATGGTGCAACCTTCAAAAAAATTGTTCAAATCGGACCACTATATCATATAGCTGCCATACAAACAGAACGATCGAAACCAATTGCTTTTATTGAAAACTTTTTAATTTGACAAGATATCTTCACGAAATTTGACATGAATTATTGTCCAAGACAGCGCTACAATCTCCGAACAAACCGAAGTTAACGGGTTTTCTTGTTTTTATCTAAAATCAATGCGCAATAAAAAATTGAGTCACACTAGTATTCTAATTTGATTTTTCGCTATGTCCTATAAGCCGTAGCGGTTTTATATATTGTATGGTGCAAACGACGTTTAATGTTTCAACAGTAGCACTAAAGAATATTCGATATTGCCAAAGAAAAATTTTAGGAATATTTATTTAAATATTAATTTCAAAAAAAAAAAGCTCAAAGGCTTCTTAGAGCGATAATCAACTATTTTTAAAAATAATATCCCTTTTCTCTGGTCAGAATCGCTCATGCTTCAGGGTAGACTATACGTTTCTACATATGGTTTGTTTTAGCATTTTCATTATTCGTTTGAAAAATGTTTCTAACGAATAAAACTAGAAACTGATCGTTATTTTAGCAACGCAAAATTTATTTATTATTTTATGGTAATTGGTCCAAGTCTTGAGCAATACATTAATTTGTTAATTAGAAGCAATAAACACCAAGATGCTTTGGCACAGCTTACAAATTTCTGATTTGTATTGCATCTTATATAGACTACAGTTTAGATTATTTGGAAAAAGTAAATCAAGAAGTATTAAATTGAAATTGACTCAAGCTCAATAAGCTGATTTTATTACCTCCAATAAACGTAAGTTCATACATTATTTACCAAACCAATTTTTAAGAATGCTGTAAGTTCAGCTCATATGGACATCCCTGAACCAAAATATATGAATACGCAATCATAGATTCAAATATTGTCTAAACTAATATTTTAAATGTGGAATAACATTTCTTAATAAACTAAAAAATATTATCATATCAACTAAACTGCCATCCAAAGCGTAGTGATAAAAGAGAAAATCAAATAAAAGAGTAGACAACCCAAAAACATAACGTAAATTGAACAATAAACTAAGTCAAATCACGAATGCTCATATTATATTTTATTTCATATGATGCTACATTTGTAGTTCTAGGCCTATGCTAGCACAAGCTTTGTTGGTTGACAGCACATACACACATGGATGAATTGTGAACAAAAGTTACAAAAAGCTACAAAAGTAAGTCGTAGAAAGCGCACATATTTAAATTTAAAGAAAATACAAACGAAGTAATAATTTGATATGCAACAAAGGCTTTTAAAAGTAAAAGTTTGAATATATACCGCAAAACTAAGAGGTGGATAAAAAAAATGCAAAACCAATGGCGATATTTTAAATACTAATAGAGCGTAAAATTTGCAGCTTTCTTAATTTATTAATGTAATTTATTCCTTTTCTAGTGCGACAGCCATTTGTACGATTAGGCATTTTGCGTGGCTACTTTGTTAAACGACCGATAGGCGCAAACAAAATATAGGTACAACAGTTTTATCAAACATAGATTTTAGTAGAGGTATGCACCGCGACCTATGGTCTATTGTGCTTTGAAACATACTGAAGACTATTGAAAAAATTCCACCATAAAATGTTTTAAGAAGTATAGCAATTTTCTCCATTAGACAAGTAGTGAAAAAATTATACATTTCAACGACTTCATTTTTGAAGCTAAAGACTTAAGCAACAAACTCACATTTGCGTTTAATTATTAAATATTTCCAAAAATGGGCGATTAATGTCACAATCGGATTTGTTCGTTGACACACACATTCTCTTCCGCATTTTACCTAGAGTTCTGGACAAATCTTTATCTTCATTATATAATAGTCAAGCCAAATAGTTTTAAATAAGAGCATACATATTATGTGTATATATTTTTTATAGTGCCTAGGTAGAACATATGGCTTCAAAGGGGTCCTAGAGTGTAAGAGGTTAATAATTTCAAAGCGGAAGGACTTGTTTAACAAATCGTCAGGGGTCTAAAAAATTGTGAAAAATCTAGTTGACAGCAGGTAAAAAACATATATAAATATATTATATATGAAATATCTACCAGGTTTATTACGAAGTTGGTAGCACCCCGAAGGAAACGTCGGAGACCCTATAAAATATATATATAATTGCATAGCCTAACGAGCTGAGTCGATTTAGCCATACCCATCTATCTGCCCCTCTGTATATACTCGAGATATCGCAAAACATCCTTTGCTCCCCAAGAAGCTGCTCATTTATCGGAACTACCGATATCGAATCACTATACCAAACTACAAGTATATAGCTACCATACAAGCTGACCAATCCAAATCAAGATCTTGTATGGAAAACTTTTTTTTTTTTGACAAAATATCTTCACAAAATTTCGCTTAGATAATTGTCCAAGGCAATGGTGCAGTATCTGAACAAATTTTTCAGATTGGACCACTATAGCACATAGCTGCCATTTAAAATGACCGATCAAAATCAAGATAAAGAATAAGTTAGCAAGAAGTTAATTTAAAGTTAAAATTAAAATAAATTGTAGTTTTGCAATCATAACAAAAAGAATTATTCACAACACACTCACCTTGTTATTACTACAATAATATATATCCGACATTTTGTTGCTGTTGTATTTTTAATTTTTCTAATAATTAACTTTAAAAAGTAGCATTAAACGTTTATTGCATAGACAATAATCTTCACGCAAAAATAACTCTTTCACCAAAAACAATTATTTTACCTTTGTTGTACAATTCAACTTTATCGACTTTTAATCTCACAAAATATTTGTGAACTTAAAAGCTTTTTTTATGCAAGGCTGCACTAACAACACAACAAAGTTATGCATTTTCCATATTGCTCAGAGTTTTCATTCAAGGGCATTAAGTGTATTTTTTAATATGTATGTGTGTATGTCTACGATGATGTATGTATAAAACAATAACACAAACGCGAAAAATGCGAAATTATTAAAAGAAAAGCACAAACACGCACACTTAAGTTGGCAACAATGCGATTGACGGCAACTTTCTACTTCAGCGCGCACATTGCAATCCGGTAACGGAGAGTAAGTTATTGCGCTGGCATGTAATACACATATAGATTTACAGCAGCAAACTCAAGCGAACGTCAGCAGCAATGCTCGTAGTAGACTTGAAAGGGGCTCTAGGCGCGTTTGAGCCACAGTAGCAAAACTTTTCACCAGGAGGGAAAATCGCTCAAATGCCGGCAGAAAACAAAAAAATACTTTTTTTCTAATTTTGTGTAATAGTATTGAGAAAATCATTCACGGGAAAATCATTAGTTGCTGCAATGGTTGCAGCTGTGAGCAAGTATCGTTGCACTTGTTCTATATGTATATATGTGAGAATATGTGCTGATGACTTTACGACAGGTTGCTGACGTTAATTTCTTATTGTCAATGTTGACTTCTTTTCTTTGTTACTTATTTCTGTTGCGTTTTTGTTATTGTACACGTATATTCTGCTTTGACAGGTTTACACTTTTACGCGATTTGCCACAATGCTCAGCTCACATTTCACATTTTTCAGATTTTCCACTGATACTACTACTACTTTGCTGCACAAGTCACAAGTCAACAAATGCAACACAGTTTCACGTACAATAAATTCACGTTAACACAGAATGCACGCGAGCACCGTAAGAACAAATGTCGCCACACCAGTGTAAATGGAGTAAGAGAGCCTAAGCTAATAATAAACAATATTGCTTGTTAAGTGTGTTCGCTGCCAATTAGCCGAGCAGAACACCCCATTTCGATGACGGCAACGTGATGAATGGTAATACGATGCCGGATTTAACGCGCAGGGATTTGCGCTTGAAAACGGGTCAAAACAAGCACACAAGTGTCCAGAATACGTAAGCGTGTTAAACTCAACAGCAAGCGTAAGTACAAAAAGTTATAATACCGCAAACATGAAATGATTTAACTGTAACGCGCAACGATGATTTTTCAAAACAGAAAAATACAAAACTGTTTTTGCAAAAGCGTCACTTCGCACTCAACCGACTTCGCATAAGGTTCCAAACGAACTGAAAGTACACAATTCAAGAAACGACCAAACCAAGAAAATCACCAGACAACGGCCAATAAAAGCAGTTAGCAGCGACGTAGCGTCACCGCCGGCAGCAGCGTCAACGTAAGTCGACGTCGCCTTTTACTTTTTGAATATTTGCCATTAAAGCGTTTCCAGTTTTACTATGGTGCATGGTAAGCAAAGCATTCAGTAAGCGTGGCTGGGGCGATGATCGCGCGGTCGAGCTACGCGGCTCGCTTGTTTAGTGTTGTTAAGACGCATTTAGTCGGTCGGCTGAAGCAACTGTTATAGTTATGTTATGTTAATTGTTGTTGACAAAAATTGCAGCGTTGATAGCAATAATGGTTTTAGCAATTGCATGATGTGTCATTGGAACATGCGCGAGTTGTGTCTGGTCAGTGTATGAGTTCGCTTACAACTTGTTTGAGAGTAAAAGCAAACTAACGGATATTTATATTTAGAAGTAAAATTGAATACCCAATTTGGAAACTTTTCGTTAACACAATAAGGACTAGAAAAATTAATTAATTATTTTTCCTATAGATGGGTTGAGTCATCTGTATCTCGCGATGTATACCACAAGTGTGATCGGGTTACAAAGATACATATTTTACAAAGATTAGGTGAAATTTTCAAAAAAAAAATATTCCAAACTCGACCATTACGACGCTATTTCCGACAGTCCCTCGGAAAAAAGTGCCTCCGCGTTGACAGCAGAATTTCTGACAGGATAATCAAAAGTAAAAAGAAAAATATACGTGTTTAAACTAAGACCATTAACTAGAAATCAACTAGGAGAAAAGACAAATAAAGTGAAAATTGTACTTTTGGCGGACGTTTTTACAAAACATGCAAATTTTGGTATAAATTAAAGTAGTAGTAAATTAAATAGTTGTAATAGAACAAAAAAAATCCTCCACGGCAAGACCTTGTAAATTATATCGCAAATACCTGTGTAAAATTTCATTTAGATCGGTTGAGTAGTTCGTGAGCAATCTTGACAACCGACTTTGAAAACACAGTTTTGAGAAAAACGCGTTTTTTTTAAGCCCTGAAAACCATATAACCCCTAACACAAAAAATCTCGTGAATAGTTTAAAGTTAACGATTGCTCTCTCAACGGGTTCATTATCTATTATCTCACTCTCTCTTGTGATTGCCAGGTAATCAAAGAGTATACGCTCTGGTGTCCCGGTGCAAAGTCACAGAATCGACATTGATCTGTAGAGCAGATCCGAAATTTGTACAGATGACACCTTAGCCTACAGTGACTTGTATACACCGAAACAAGCTGCCTGCCATCGTTTATCGCTTGAAAGACTTGAAACACTTCGGTTGTAACCTCTCTGAAATAATTTTCATTGCGAACGATAAAGCTACAAGATTTAATGTATGAAGATTTGTACGAATACGAGCGTATATCAGCTCTGTATGACCAGATATTAAACATACACAACAGAATAACACCACATGAAAAAAGAAAACCCTCCCTTGTGTGGTCTTGGAAATAGGTTAACTTTATACATAAAATAGAAACAACAAAATATAAATTCTAAAAACAACATTTTATATTTATTTATAAAATATAACAACTCATTTTTGTTGTGACACTTCAAAGTGCAATAAATGAAAAATGTTGATATTAAAATATTTCCCCCATCGGTTTTAACGTGATCTCGTGAATCTAAAACAAACATATTCGAGAAGATTTCATATTAATTTCGATTACAGAAGTATATACAGAGATATTTTGGTTACCCACCTGTACATGGGGCGGAGTACGCAGCGCATATAAAACCGCATCAGCTATATTTGTTGGCTCTAAGCGTGCCATATGCTTCACGTAGAAGTGAATTTCTTCCGGAAATATGTTTGTGTTTACGGCACCGGGACAAATACCCTTTTCAAATGTCAAGTTCATTAAATATAAAATGAATACAACATTTTAATGGGACTACAAATGTTTCTATCCGTGATTTATAGAAAAAAATAAATAAACTGGTGTAAATTAAGAAAGCGGAAACACAGGATGGCAAATATAATTTTAAAATCCTAGATAAAGCTTTTCTTAAAAGGGTTATGAAGACAGAGAAAATATCTAAGGAGGCTATCAACACTTGAAGAACCGTTGGAAAGTAAAACAAGGTACGGGGAATCACGATTGCAGAAGTTGTTGTTTAGTTCTGTCATTAAGGGTATCGTTACAAAGTTTGCTTTGAGCATATCTCAGAAAAACCCATGGCATTTTGGGTGTACTTTTATGCCTCATTGTCAAATTTAAAGAGTCCAATACAGCGAAGATCGAAAGGATATACACAGAATGTTAAAAGTAAAGTCCTGCGATCAGTAATAGATATTGAAGTAACATCCCCAAAAACATCTAAAATTGCAGAAAACAATTTTTGGATTTTGTACCACGAAGAGACATTTGACTATGCGTCGAAACAAAGTATAACAATGCCACATTCTCCGGATTTACCAGTTTTTATCATTTGATTGAATTTTACCCATACTGATCCCTATAAACTACACGCGCAAACCGGATCGATAAAAATAATATTTTCTAAATTAGTACAATTTCGTTTAGTTTGATCTCGCGTAAAGTTTGATCTCCATATACAAGTTAGTGTCTGTTTGGCAGCTGTTTGTTTACGACACGAAAAGTTTATCTGGCGATGGAAAAAAATTTAACAACGAGTTTGCTCGCAATTTTGTGTTTCCATTGAATCAAGGCTATGGAATCGTTGAAAATGTTAAAGAAGCAGTGCTGGAAAATCGTCGTGTTGGCATCAGGGAGATAGGAGAGGATTTCAATATCTCTTACGGATCGACTCAGCACATTTTGGTTAATATTTTCTGTACGAAACGTATCAATGCTAGACTCGTACCAAAATACCTGAATCGTATGCAAAAACGACGACGGTACTGAAAGCCATCCCAGCCGAAGCTTATAACAAGTGCATGGAAAGTTGGATTAAGCATTGAAATGCTTGTATTGAATCAGGAACCTATTTTAAAAGCTATAATCAAGATTTGTATACACGAATACACGAAAATTAATTTTTTTGTCAGTCTTGGTCATATTTTATCAGAGCGTACACCCATCCTATCTCAAAAACTTCATTGCTGACAAACTTAAGATTATACTAAAAAGAGCTTATCAAAAATACATGGAGGATTAGTTTGACATTAGTGTATAATATTTGAGAAATTGTTATTTTATTGGATCTACGCTAATTTTTATAAATAAAACGAATGCTTTCGTTATACATAAATAAAAAGTCACCTACTATTTGGAGTCAAAAAATGTATAAGTTAAATTATTTAATTGGAAATGATGATCCAGATGAACAATGAATTTTAGCAATAGAAAAGTCAATATACCAAACTGCTACTTATTTGAAAACAAAAACTACATCTTAATAAGATTGCGCACTTACCGTTATACGAACTTTATTCTTGTGCAGTTGAAATTCTTGCCTGTAAGTCTCCGTCATAGCCGTAATGGCAAACTTTGTTGCCGGATAGATATTGAAGCTCGGAAGCACATCAATAAAATTTAACACCTCCTTCCCGGCTATACTATTAATGATCAATATATGGCCCTCATTGCCACGCTTCATCATGCCACGGAATACTTCACGTGTACACCATAATACCGCCATGACGTTAGTATCAATCACCTGACGTATCTTCTCAGTATTATCGGGTGCCACCAATTCCGTTTCACGTGTGATACCCGCATTATTTAGCAATACATCCGCGCCACCCAACATACGTTCCGTCCAATCGATTGCCGCTACAACCTGATCCTCTTTAGATACATCACAGCGACGTGGTATGAATTGTGGTTGCAATGCTGGTGGCAAACTGAGTTTCAGTTCTTGCAATTTAGCTTCTCGCCGCGCGAGACCGACGACTCGTAGACCTGCCACCACCAAAGCCCGAGCACAGGCCGCACCAATGCCACCACTGGCACCGGTGACCACGGCCAATTTACCCTGCCAACGTTCCATAGAATAGCATGTAGTTTCAAAGACAACTAAGTAGTAACTGAGTGGAGAATATAGCTAATTTCTAGGCAGTTTGCTACAAATTAATACATATGTATGTACTTGTATGTACATAAGTATGGATATTTTCACAACTGCATATGTAGTTACTTATGCATGATGATTTAGGTCGATACTAATTTTTTACAATATCGATTAACTAATATTGCAGTTATATGGTTTCACTTGAATATCTGAATATTAAATCATAATCACTTGCCATCACATTCAACATGGAGCGTTGGCAGGGCAAAGTTGCTATGGTAACTGGTGCTAGCAGTGGCATCGGTGCTGCTTGTGCTAAGGCTTTGGTGTGTGCTGGATTTGTTGTTGTTGGATTAGCACGTCGCCAGGAACGGATTGCGCTATTGCAACAGGAATTACCTACGCGATTTCGCTCCAATTTGCACGCCTACAAATGTGACATAACAAAGGAGGAGAGTGTGAACGATGCTTTCAAGTGGACGCAGCAGAGGCTGGGCGCCGGTGTTGATGTACTGGTGAATAATGCTGGTATTATAGCGACCACGGAGTTGAGTGCACGTCAGAATACGAATGAAATACGCAACACCATCGATACGAATCTGATGGGTACGGTTTTTTGTACACGCGAGGCTTTCAATTCAATGCGTGAACGTGATGTTGAAGGTCATATACTGATCATTAATAGTGTGGCTGGTTTGCAAGTGCCGAATTTGGGTCCAAACTTGCCATCGCTCAATATATATCCTGCAACAAAGTTCGCTTTACGAGCTATGAACGAAATTTATCGACAAGAATTCCAACGACACAAGACTCGTGTACGAATAACGGTACGTGGAATTCAGACATGAATGAATATTGTAGAGAATAATGAAAGTGCCATCATTAGGACTCCGCTGATCAAATTTGACCCAAACTGGTCCATATAGATTGTGTGATCTCCATATGTCCGTTAGTGTGTGTTTACCTCGCGAAGAGTTTTTCTGGTGATCTTTATGTAGGAAAAAAAATTTAACAACGAGTTTGCTTGTAATTTAGTGTTTCCAATAGAATTACAACAGATTCGTTGAGAATGTTGCAGAAGTATTTTGAGGAGTCCACTTTGTCACGAACACAAGTATTTAAATAGCACAAAGGATTCAGTGCAGGTAATGAAGCTACAGTGCTTGACATCAGAGAGATGATCTCCACATCTCTTATGGATCGACTCAGCATTTTGGTGAATGTTTTCAGTACGAAGCGTGTCAATGCCAGAGTCGTACCAAAAGACCTAAGTCTTTTGCAAAAAAAGACGTCGAGTAGAAGCAATCAACCCAGGTACCCAGGCAATACTTATAACAAGTGTATGGGAAATTTGCTAAAGCATTGGCGTCAAGTGCATATTTCGAAGGCGATAATAAAAATTTGTATTAAACTATGTGAAAATATAGTATTTTTTTTGTCAGTCCGGGTCAAATCTGATTAGGTGGTATGATAAATATCAAAGATTGCGACACACAATGTCATTTGGGAAATAATGAGAAGAGAGATAATTTTTTATATTGGATATCCCATAATTAATCTCATACGCATATTTTCTGATTTTAATTGAATTATAGACCATCAGTCCAGGCATTGTCGATACCGACATACTACCCACTTCTATTCGCAACGTTGTCAAAGACATGCTACCAAGCCTTACGTCGGAAGATGTTGCCGATGCTGTATTATGGGCGATAAGCACACCACCAAATGTACAGGTACATACAAGAAATTTGTACATAAAGGGTTTTATTTGAATAACACCAGTTATATTTTTTTTTAGGTTCACAACATCACCATAAAGCCAATGGGCGAAAAATTTTAATAATTTGTATATTTAAACCGTGAACAGGGTATATTAAATTTGCCATGAAGGTTGTAAGACCCAGAAGGAAACGTCGGAGACTTTATAATATACACATATATCGAAATGATCAGTGTGACGAGTTGAGTCGATTTAGTCATGTCCGTCTGTGAGATATCGATCTGAAATTTTGCACACATTATTTTCTCGCCAAGAAAATGCTCATTTTTTGGAACCGGTCATATCGATCCATATAGCTGTCATACAAACTTAACGATCAAAATAAATCTTTTTAAAAACTTTTTTATTAGACAAGATATTTTCACGTAATTTGGCTGAGAACATTGCCCAAAACAACGCTACAATCTCCGGACAAATTTTTCAGATAGGACTAATATAGCACATAGCTGCCATACAAACTGAACTATCAAAAACAAGTTTTTATATAGACATTTTTTTTATTTGGCACGAAATTTGGCAAAGATTCTTACCCAAGGCTATGGTAAAGCTGAATAAATTGTTCAGATCGAACCACTATAGCATACAGCTGACATATAAACTGAATTTTTGTGAACTGAAATGTTTTTGAAGGGTATTCTGGCTTCGGTGCAATCGAAGTTAACGTTTTTCTTACTTACTTCAAAAATATGACTTTGTATTTTTAAAATATAAATAAATATACCATAATATTTTTACAACAATTGATACAGTAATTTTTTTTGTTTTATATCCCTATTTCGGTTTTCAATACCACTCAGTTAAGTTGAAGTTAAAGCAATTCCACCTCGGATCAACCCAACTCTTTTTTGGTATTACGATTTTCAGTCGAAGTTTCATTAGTGTTGCCATTCAAAAAAATTAAAATTGTACAGTTAATTGAACAGCTGAAAATTTTTAAACGAAAAATCAAAACGATTTTATGAATTTATTGCTCACCCAAAGGGGAATAATTATTAAAATGGACATTAATTTTGATATATATTACGATGACAAAATTGTTGGGGCCAAAACTGATGTGCTGCGCATAAGAAAACGCCTTCGCGATCACTCAAATCCATTCAAAATTTGGACAAAAAGTATATTCCTAGGAGTAGTAGATTGTATCAACACCTTATGTTTGAAACACTTTCCAAGGTCCCTTAATTTTATTTTAATGTTTCGAAATTGTAGCTTTCCTCGTCTAGTTTCGGAATTTTACTCAACGAGCTCAAAAAATGTTTCACCTTTCCATGGATTTGTTCATAATAACTGATTAAAATAGTATGAAATTATAAATAAAATATTATTTTTTTACCCATTTTCTATTAGGAATTTTCATAAATAAATTCAATAATGTTTAACTTCAACTGCTTGTAAGCTGTTGAAATTTTTGATACTCTAGTCCAAAAAAAATAAACACTTCAACCCAAAATTTTTTAACGGGTTGAGTTAAAAACTATAATACCGAATTTCAGAACTTCAACCAAAATGCAGTTGGGTTGAAAACCGCAATAGGGACGTTAATTCCCCAAAAGCGCGTTTTTTAGGTTGTCAACTGGGTGTGCTCCTTAGAGCTACATAGTATTAGATCGCCGAAATACAATAAAATCGGATAGCGAGTGGCAAATGGAATATGATCTGTATATATTTTCAAATATCTTTCAAATTTTGATACATATTTACATATGTTTTTATGATATTATATTATATTCATATACCATAGAGTATATTATAGCACTTACCGCCAATATTATCTGTAGAACTGTGATCTTGCATAAATAAACTATCTGTTTCTTGACTTGCGACAAATTTCTAACTTAAATCATTAAATTGCACCTAAAATTCAAAAAGAAAAATACTTACTTTTCAATTGTTACTATAATATTAGTGTATTTAGATTCTTGTTGTTTGACCTATTGCAGAACTATAAACCTGAGTTGTCGTTAGTTACATATATTAATATTGTACTGGAGATATTAGATAATACATTAAGATATTATTTACGAACAGTTTCAAATAATTTGACTTATTAAAAAATTCTACAACAGAGCGAAATAACATTAAATAAAAACAAAACTTTTTTTTCTGCGGTTTCAACTCGTCTCTTTTAGTTTCTTATAAAAAATATATAGATGTTGTTAGTTGACGGGTTTCTTGACTATGCCATGGCATATTATTAAATTGCTATTCCTGGCAAAAAATTAGCATAATTTTATATATTATAACGTAGTTGTTAGTGTGATTAAAGCAATACTGAAAGAATGCGACGACTAAAACACAAAGACAAAATTTCAATTCTTTGACAACTTTGTTATTTAAAATTTTTATTTCATAAAAAAAATGTTTAATATTTTGGGTAATAATCAATTCAAAACTACGCAAATTAACAATAGCGAACACGAACCTTCAACACGATTAGCCCATCATTCCTTTGCTACGTTTAAAGGCTGCACCCATTTTACGATTATGATTTGCACGCGAAGATTTATTTTTCTCTTTTTTTTCGCGATTTCTCAAAGTATCTTTATCTTGGCCTTGACCTTTTGGCGCGCCAACAACGTCTCGCGGTTTACTATTATCGAAATTGCCGCCATGATTGCGATTACTCCATTTAGCTTGTCGTCGAGCTTCGTAACGAGCTCGTATATCCTCGGGATTTTCACAAAAATTCAATCGTTTATTACGATCATTTTGTGCATCTGAATTAAATTTATCTCCTGCAGTTTCCTGATCATCCTCACTCTCTTCGTCAGATACATCTTCAACATTTGCTAGTCCAGCTTTGAGCTGTTTGGATTTAACAACACGTGTCTCACTTTCCAATAATGCTTCATAGCTGTCATCATATTCATCATTGTATTCATCATTGCTACTTTCACCTTCACTGACTAGTGTATACGCTTGGTAGCGTGATTTTAATTCAGCTAAATCACTTTTATCATCTAACAATTGGGCAGCATCTTTTGGTGCATTTGGCATGCCTTTACCCTGTTTTATAATACATTTAGGGTTATCTTGCGTCATGACATCATATGCATCGCCATCATAAACGTTAAAGTGTTTAACACCAGTCTGTTGATAAGTCTTATCTTGTGGATCGGGTGGTATATATACCTCGGTTTGGTCTGAATTCACTAGATCGGGTGGTAGATTGTTTTCGAGTATAGCGGCGATAGCCTCTTCACTGTTGTTATAGCGCGACAGTATACGTCGAACAAACCCTGTGCCTAAGTGAGGCAGAACATCCAATACTGACGTTACTTCTAAATCAATATCACGTTCTTGAGCTAAAGCAGCGGACGATATAATATTTGTGTCTTTATTTGAGGTTTGGTTATTTTTATTATTTAATTTCGCTGAATTTTTAACTTTTTTATTGGGTTTAAAATTGTTCTTATCCATAGTAGGTTTTGATTCTTGTTGATATCCTTGCACAATAAAGGAAGCTTTAAATCCATCCCTTTAAAAAACCTTTCAATTATTATCTATATAAAATGTATATATTCTAAACTTTTATACGTACAAGTTTTTGCAGGATTGTTTAAGTATATCAACGTCTAGTTCAACAGGGTATAAGCGGCCATAATCATTTACGAAAGTCTGTTCTGAGAGGCATTCAGTCAGTAATCCTATAAGTTGTTCAGCGTTCGACATACTCTCCTCTCTGAACATAAATATGTATAAGTACACACTAATTAAGATGAAAAATCGTAAAGGATCTTACGGGTTCGCCATGACTGCTTCAACAAAGCTGTAAGCTATACTTCGAAAAGCCTTTAAATATTCTAACCGCGCCATATTAAGCCAGCCCAAACTTGTAGCAGCCTCGTTAATGAGGAATATATTTTTGTACAAAAAAGGAATTGTATTATCATAGAACTGTGCAATACTAAAAATTAAAATATAGTTAGTAATATATACATTTATATGAAATAAGCTTTTGCACCTTTGTCCCAATTTAATTTCAGCGCATAAGGCCTGCACTTCCGGACAAACAGCTAAAAGCACACTTAGTGAATACGCACAGTCTAAGGTGTATAAAGCAACATCATCATACGGGGTTTCAGCATTCTCATCTAAATCACCTCCACCAGCACCTTCGAATCCCTCATTTTCGGTTTGTGTTTGTATACTTCGAAATGCGGTGCGAAAAAATGACAATGCTGCTAAGATATCCTGCTTATAGTTTGGTTCAATTCGTAAAAGTGACTCGAAAATTCGACGTAAAACTGCGGTGTTTTGTGGATCTGCATCTCCGACAGCCATAAGTAAATCGAATAACATTGGCACAGATATTAAATAGTTTTTATAAATCAATTCACGCTGATGCTCAACCCTTAACCAAGCTTCATCCGATTCACGATTAGTAATAAGCCGGCAAACGATACGCAGCACAAGTTCTAGTATTTGTTCGTATATTTCTATAATATTTTGTTGTTGAACAATTTGTGACCAAACATTCAAATAAAATGGTGTCGTTCGTTGTAAAAAGGAAACGACCGCCGCTAGCGCAGTCTTTTGAAACACCATATATGACCAAAACCTATAAAGCTTAACCAATTAATTTTCGAATTTCATAGGCAAACTTTACACTTACTCATGATGGCGACAATTTAGCAAGAAATGCATGTCTTTGCAAAAGCAATTTGAGTTGTAATGCCACTCCTCCAATTCTACACCACTTTTCACACGACCATACTGAGTCAAAAGACTTACATATGTTGTAAAATTGGCACGAGGAGCCCAGTGTTTATGCTAAAATTTATATATTATTTATTTCAATTAAATGTATAAAATAAAGTTTTACCAAAGCTGGCATGGAGCATGGTTTTAAACCATCGTCTGCTGGTATTCGAAGTACTAATTGATCTAGTGATTTCTTCTCCAGATTCTATAAAAAATTATATTTAATTTACACGAATTAATAGATGTTTTGTGTTATTTACCGGGAACTCCCCTGGGATAGTGAAACTCATTTTATATAGAGAAATGAAACGTAAATATGTGCAATAAAGCTTTATAAATTTAACAATTGCGAAATTCGTGTAACAGCTGTTGCCAATGATGGTATTGCCACACTTTAATTGATTACATTTTTAAACGTTGATTTTTGTACATTTCGTTTTCGTACAATTGTGAGAATATTCATTAGAAGTAAATGAGTTTAAATATTTTGTATGATTGCAATTTACTAAATGTTTTGCTCCGTTGCTATATATTGCAAATATATAACTTTTCACATTTTTTCACTTCATCAATATCTGCCCCTTCCATTTTCTTTTTGAATTTCACCTTAAAATTTAGATGAGCGCAAACGCTTTGAAGGAATAGGATGTAAGTGAAACATGTTAAATATTAGGAAGACAATGAACTTCAAAGTGAGCAAAGCCAAAAAAAGTAAACATAACAACAGTAGCAAGGTGTAAAATATACATACTTATATCTTAAAATATACCTTTGACAAGCACACACATGCAGATAAATACGCTGATAAACATTCATTCAATGTTATAACGTGAGTAGTTCTTCAGATGATCATTTTGTTTTGAATGTTCAAGCGCAGCACTTGAATAAATATTATTTGCTGCTTAGGGCTGACACATAATTAATATTTAACAAAGAGGAAAATGTTCAGTTTCACGTAAAGCACATAATTGGGCGGTAAAAATTTATCACACGAGTGAACATTAGAATAAATAATTGAAAAGTAAAAGTGTAGTCTTAAATTAAAAGACGATTGTATCACTATACTCTTCCAAATGGCGCAAATGGAAAAAGCTATAGAAGATGTGAGTTTATATATGTATATACTTTAAATGTTTGTTTAAACAGTAATTTACGCGTAAAAATGTAACGCCGTTGTAAGGTGGTTGTTAGAGCAACAAATTGTGCTTTTTTGTTTACTTCTGAATTTGCATCTTATCGCTGAGCAATGTGCATCATTCTTCACTTCCCTTTTGCTTGTTTTCCTGTTTTGTGCGTGTTGCTTTTGCGGTATTGTTTCTTATGGGAAATTTTCTGTTTACGTGTCTGATTGGATAAAATGCTGAATGTGATATCTTAGTTAAAAAAAAAAGCGCAAAAAAGTATTGCTGTAATAAATTAAATAATTAAAATTCTATAAATAAACTACAGGTGTTTGGACGTGGTCAAGTCAGAGTACAAGACTTTGGTGGAAGTGGCCAGAGAAACTCATCGGTAGTAGTTACAATTCCTGCCCATACTTTAATGACCACAACTTCTATACCAACAACTGCCATGAATATACACGGTTAGTATGACACAATAAATATCCGTTTTGTTCTTCATATAAAAAAATATACCTACAATTTTTAGTAAACGCCAACACTTTGAAGTACATCAGTTTAATAACGCTAACATTGCAAAATGCAATACTTGGACTTAGTATGCGATATGCACGCACACGACAGGGTGATATTTTCATCAGTTCTACAGGTGTGTAGTTTTATTTAATAAAAAATACAGTTAAATCAACTTCGGAAGTTTTTTCACAATTATCATTCGTAATTCATACATATGTACATATATACATACATATTTGCATGTATATGATACATATATGTATATATGCTTAGACTCATAAAAATTTATAATATAAGCAAACACTTGTTCTTTTGCAAGATAAGAAATATTTCCGGTTTTCTAATCAGAAAGTAGAGGTGGAGATAAAAACCTAATTCTAGCATATAGCTAATTTAAGCACTTTTTCCGTGTTTAAAATACTATTCCATATTACTTATCTAGTACTTAAATGAGTATATCTATTTATAATTTGTTTGAGAGACTTTGAATATTTAGGCTATGTACAATACATATATGAAAATGCTCAAATATAAAACAGAAGCAGTAAATATTAATATTTATAATAAAGGCTTTAAATTGAAATTTTATTTAAAATAGTAAATATTTGTTCTTACTGTCACAACATCGTTTAACAATTGTACATTTAAGCAGTATTATTGTATTTAATTTTTATTTTTTAGCCGTGCTTATGTCGGAGATAGTTAAACTAGTCACCTGCTTGGTTTTGGTATTCAATGAAGAGGGTAAAGACGCACAGAAATTTGTACATACGCTGCACAAAACTATTATTGCAAATCCTGTGGATACACTCAAAGTATGCGTTCCTTCACTAGTTTATATTGTGCAAAATAATTTACTATATGTGTCCGCTTCACATTTGGATGCGGCCACTTATCAAGTGACCTATCAACTTAAGATACTTACGACCGCCATGTTTGCCGTATTCATACTGCGACGCCGCCTTATCAACACACAGTGGGGTGCATTATTGTTGCTAATTGTTGGCGTTGTAATGGTGCAGTTAGCGCAAACCGTGGATGATAGTGCAGGAAGTGCACCATCAACTGGACCGGAGCAAAATCGAATGCTCGGATTGTGGGCAGCACTTGGAGCTTGTTTTCTGTCTGGTTTCGCTGGGATATACTTTGAAAAAATCCTTAAAGGCGCCGATATATCCGTATGGATGCGTAACGTACAACTAAGTTTGCTCAGCATACCATTTGGTATGCTGACTTGCTTCATTAACGATGGACATCAAATCGCAAGCGCCGGTTTCTTCCATGGTTATGACTTGTTCATTTGGTATTTAATACTCCTACAGGCGGGTGGCGGACTTATAGTAGCAGTCGTGGTAAAATATGCTGATAACATATTAAAAGGATTTGCTACCTCCTTAGCTATAGTCGTTTCATGTGTAGCATCTATTTATTTATTCGACTTCAACTTGACTATACGTTTTGCAATTGGTGCGGGATTGGTTATTGCTTCTATATTTTTGTATGGTTACGATCCCACTAAGTCAACCGGTAACTCAAAGCAGACAACAATGAATGCAGCACAAAAGAACCCAGCACAATTAGAGGATGAGGAACAACTTTTGCCCAGAGTTTAAATATTTCGATGTTTAAAACTAAAATTAATTTAGCAATTGATTCACAGTATTCGAAATGTAATTTAATGTTTAAACGATTAAACGTCAGTTATACAACTTAAGTCATTTATAAAGGAAACTGACTGCGAACTTAAAAATGTTTTTAGTTAGTTATTCATATTGAACGCAATTTACTTAATCTCAAAAAACTACAATATTTAGTTGTAAGCATATGCATTTATGCCTATATAGAAAATATAAAATATATTTAAACGCCCAAGAGAGTTTTCATTATGTAGGAATTGCACATAAAACAAAACGTTTGTTGTTTGAAATTCTTTTAAAATAGAATGGGTTCTCATATTTTACATTATTTGCCAATAAATAACTCTAAATGTTACGTACCGGATTAATTGAAATATTCATTAAATTAATTAACTGAAAACTGTTAAAAGAACAGTATTTTTTATTCACATTAAATTGATATTGAAAAATATTATAAATTCACCTTTCGCTACCAATATATACTGCAATGGGTCAGTACGTGGTGCGAACTTATATATGTAAATACACATTTATACACTGCGTATTGTGAGCACGTATATAATTCTTAACAGTGCGTAAACGCTTCATTGCTAAAGAAATATTCAAAATTGGTAACCAATAATAAAATTTAGATTAAAGAAAAAACTAAACAAGTTCTTTAAGTTTGAAGCGGAACCGAATTAAAATAATCGAATATGTAATATGTTGATAAAATATGTGGTTGTAACGTTCAGTGATACTAATAAGCTTTAAAGTCCACAATTCCAACCAAGTGTTGGATCATTTAACTGTGTCTGTATTTTTAATATTAAACTGTAAATACGCAGTGAAGGACCCAATTTAATTGGCAGCTTTTTAATAACATCACTGCGCTTAAGCAACAACAGTGAAGTTCCATCGATTTCATGTTCCTTAAAAACGTGCGCCTCGTTAGGAAAGTACTTGGCAAAATAAGTAGCGACTTGATCAGCATTCCAATCCTTTACATCGGGCACATCTATTGGTTCATAAGGGCTATATCGGATAACCGGTGTATTACTATTTATAGTCTCATCGTGATGCGTTTTTGGTCTCTTTGATGCCATAGCATCGCCAATCTTTGCATCGCCACTTAAACTGGTGATGTTGCTACTGGTCGTGCTACTGCTACTTGTAGTACTACTACCCCCGCTTTCTAGGCAACTACCATCGCTTTCTATACCACTCTTGCCTTGTTTTTGTCCATTATCATTACCTACTTGCACATCCTGTGTTGAAAGCTTGGTAGCAGCACTTTTCGCTTCGGCTGCAGCTTCTGCAATGTTTATGTTTTGCTGAAGAAATTGGGTACATTTTGAGCGATGTGGATCATCACCAATGATTTCCCGTATTGTTTTCACTGGTAAAGCAGAACCTCCATTATTTATACACGGTTGACATTTATTGCATTTCCATCGAAAAGTCTGTTGGTATTTAAACACATTGGGAATGTGGCAGGTCAGATGATATGATTTAACGCATTTAGAACACGTCACCATTGGTTGCTAAACAAAGAGAAAAAATATTTAATTTGAATACAATATTTCTAAGGAAATTAACTATAACTACACCTAAACAAATAAAAAAAGAATGTAATATATTTTTGGTAAGTGTATAGTTTAGGTCCCCCAACGAAAGTCTCAAAAATTAAATTTTTTTTAAATCATCTTATTTTGACGCGAAAAAAGTAACATTTTTTCAATAATTTATGTATTTATATAATAATATATTTAACAGACTTTGCATATATTTTTCAAGTAACTTAATTGTTGTTGTTTAGCGGCAAAATTCTGTAGAATTCAGATCACTTAACTGTAATTACAAGTTTAACGAGTTAGACGATTTCTTGTCAAAAATAAAGAAGAAATTTCTTTTGCGCCGCAATCTCATGATACGGGCGAATAGAGAGGATCGTCGAACTCTTTCCGCACTGGCTGGCAAAAGAACTATGGACTCCCCGTGCTGTGCAGAAGGAAGTTCGACGCGAAAGAACAACTCAGTTTTCGAAAAATTAAAATAGTATTATTGAAAAAATCGACTTTCCACTCGCGTATTTGTAATATTCGCGTCAATATAGGAAGATTATAGAGAAATAAGCACTTACGTTAATTTTTGGTTCGCAGTCATTAAAAGCGTCACATACATCGCATGTACGGCAATTTTCGCACTTGTAGTTTTGACGTAAAATGTCAATATCTTCAAAATCTACCTGTAGGCATAGTTTATGTACTCTTCGTTCGCATTCCAAACAAGATATTAATTTATTCCTGGCGTGAGTACCGCGCTTGGCTTCGCGCTTTTGACAAACATCACATACAACTTCTGTTGACGCAATTTCACCAACAGAACCAGATGTGCCGGTCGAACTTATTGAGGATTGGGAAAGACGTTTATTTTGCTGTGTATCTTGATTTTGTAAAGTTGGTGTGTCCCGTTTCCGATCAATAAGGATAGATATTCCTGTTGCTGTCGGGCCCGTACCGCCTGAATGTGTCGCTGCAGTATTAACACGTTGTGAACGTGGCAAATAATTGTCAGAAGGATCAAAGACGGCTTTAGGTTTCTAAATGAAACAATAAATAAACTTGTAAATTTATGTTATTTATTTTTGATTAAAAATAAAGAATACCCACTTTTATACGTCCTGTTGTTCGTACAGCCATATTTTCGGAGCTCGTAATACTGGCAGCATCATCCTGCTGTGCAATTCGCAAGCGAGCAACTTTTTTCATTTTCTAGAAACTCAACCTTGTTGGGAAAATAGTATATTCGAAGCTTCCTGAAATTCCAATTTCAGAATTTATAGACCGAATATCTATCGAAAAAATTATGTAACAATTTATGATATTTAACTTTTCGAAAAATAATTTTCATTAAAATCTCTATCAGGATTATTATATTTTTTTTTTTACTTAGTGAAGTGTAAACTTTAAACAATGAAAACGATATACTTTAGTAATCGAACTACTTTTTGGCTTCGATATACAATGTTCTTCTTCTTCCTCTGACTAGTCGTTCACCATAATAATAATTGAGAAATAAATATAATAAGTGCTAAAAGTATAAAAAATATATACACGAGGTGTGTTCTAAGGAAAAGGTGAATTTTGATTTTTCACGGGCTGTCATAGCTAAGTTTTTCTGTGCTCTTCGATTTTTGCCTTTTGAAAGAAATGGATCAGAGGATGTGTATTAAATTTTGCGTTAAAAATGGAACAAAGTGCTCCAAGGCACTTGAAATGTTGACTGCGGCTTAAGATGAGTCCACTTTGTCTTTGAGCTTTACAGGAGGCCGAGAACATGTTGATGACGATTAGCATCTTGGAGCTGCGACCACGTCAACAAGCGAAGAAAACATTGAAACAGTTAAAGTAATTGTTGACAAATCAATCGGAATGTTTTGGTCATGAAACGTGTTACAGCGATGTTAGTTCCAAAATTGCTAAATTTTGAGCAAAAGCAATATGGCATTAGTTGATATTATGAGGAGTTGTTGAATGACGTCCACAACGATACAGGTTTGCTCATACGGGTCATAACTGGTGACGAAACTTGGGTATATGGTTATGGCGTCGAAACGAAGGCTCAATTCCAATGGATGCTGCCAGATGAGCCAAGACCGAAAAAGGCACGCCAGCTTTAACTAAATGTGAAGGTTTTGCTCTTGCTGTTTTCTTTATTAACAATGGTGTGATGCATCATGACTTCCAGCCAAAAAGTCGTAATGTAACGTTTGCGTAAAGCAATACGGCTCAAACGATCGGAATAATGGAAAACCCAGTGGTGGATTATACATCAGGATAATGCATCAGCTCACACATCAATGCTTATTCGTGATTTTTTTGTCCAAAAACGAAAGCGTAATCATGCCTCAATCACCGTATTACCCAGATTTGACTCCCTGTGATTTTATCCTATTCCCAAAACTGAAGAAACCAATGGAAGAAAAGCGTTTTGCCACAATTAATAAGATCAAGTCAGAATCGAAGAAAGAGCTGATGGCCATACCGAAAAGCGCATTTCAGAAGTCCTTCGAGGATTGGAAAAAGCACTGGCACAAGTGTATTATATCCGAGGGGAATTACTTTGAAGAAGATATTTTGAAATAGATATTGATGAATAAATAGGTACTTTTCAAACAAAATTTAAAATTCACCTTTGTCCTTGAACACACCTCGTGTTATATTATCAATGCTAGTAGGTTAAATATAACATTTATTTACAATCAAATAATTTAGTAATTATTTCAAGTGATTAATTTTACTAATCTTAACAAGTTGCCAGAATATGAATTCGTTTTTTTTATGAATGTTTTTATAGAGATATTGTGCTAAGTTCATAGTTTACACATGCTTATGCCCTTTTTTCAATCATTTTTAATTCGTTGCCCATATCGCCAACCTAATTTAACTAGATCACTGTTTTCCATAAACCAAACGAGTAAACAACAAGAAACACTTAAAAATCCATACAATAGATGTACTAGAATTGATGATGACTAAAAAGTAATAGTAATATTAATCAAAAAATTATTCATTGTTGGTATTCTTCCTTGAACTCACCGATACGTATTTACAAAATAAACCTGTTATTAGAAGCGTGATGATAAACCATTTACCAGGCAACAAGCCTTTTAGCGGCATTAAACCTGTAGGCTGATATTGTCGATATATAAAGTGAGTGCTAAAAACATATGAAAATTAATTATTTATCAAATAAACGTAATTTTTCTTATGCAAACCTGTAGCATATCCTACAAAACATGTTTATACAATTGGCGAATATAAATCCAACTGGCCCTAGGAAGCTTGTCAAAATGTAAGAGAGTATTAGAAAACTAACGGAGAATATTGCCATTAAGTAATTATATTTGTCGATATCTCTGCTTGTATTCGTTGCAAACATATAACCCTCCGTTATGCCGTTTATAGCTAAGAAATAAATAGCTAAACAATGCCACCGTAACAGCTTCTCTGGAAGTCCGCCGGCAACAAAATCAACACCACCATAGAGTAGAAGTAAAGTATGTGAATAGCTTTGACCAAATGTTAAGGCTAATAGTCCAATCGATGTAACTGCTAGGGACAAATTATGTAAAACTTTTGCTGTTTGCACAACGCTTTCCTGCAAAAGAATTAAACAAAAAGTAAAATCTTGTCTCCAAACTTAAAAAAATGTATATATAGAATCTTACCCGTTTTTGCTTATATAAATCGACGTCACGAGCAATAGTTTGTGTGAAGAAAAAATAACTACTTTCTTCAATAGGTCTAAAAATAAAACGTGCCGCCAAGCTCCCCAAATTATTTACCACATCATATGTAGCTTGTTCACTAAAATTCAGTACTGGGCTTACAGACATAACATATTTCTCACCTTCAGTTAAGATTTGCTTTAGTACGCCCTGTTTAACAAAGCTTAAAGTAAGAATCTGCAGTTCTGAGTTGAAGAATTTATCCTATGACAATTTTAGTAATATATATTTCAATTAAAAAGTGTGTAAACTTTTATTAATATTTCACCATACTTACTTCATTCTTCATAACTCCAGGGAAAAACTCGCTTAATTTTGTAAAGGGGAAATCTTTCATATCATTCTGTTTTTTATTTTGATTAAGTCTTCGAATATAGAAATAAAAGAATCCGTAGTTTCCAATTATAATTGTTGCAGTACTCATTAGCTGAGCTATTGCAAAAGCATTAATTGCGACGCTTTTGTCATTTATTACAATCCAGAGAAAAACAGCTGAACGTACCAATATATGTAGAGTATTCAAGACGATTCGTACTCGTACAAAACAGAAAACTTGTGTCACAAAACTAGGCGCTTCGGCACACAATTCAACAATACATGACAAAGCCATTGCATAGCAACCAAATTGGTATTGCGCATTGTATTTCTCCTCAACGGGTGTCAACAGATGCAACCAAGTGTATACGCAAGGAATGCATATAACTATACATGTCGGTGACCTAAGAATAGTTGCTTTTATCAACTACAATTTCATTATTAAATATTAATTAACTCACGTGAGCCACATTTGATTTATTAACTGAGCCCATGAGCATTTGTTACGTTGCTGAGTAGTGGCACTCAATCCTGCCCGGTTAAAAGCTTCTCTGGATAAAAACAGTAAAGTGCTTTCCAACAGAAGCAATCGTACGTTCATAATGCCTAACACATCACGCCCAACGTTCCGTACAATGAAAGCATTAATGGCAAAAGTAAGGATGCGACATAATACCTTCGGACGAGCAAAAACAGAAAAGGCTTATCAGCCGTTATTGACACCAATTATTTGATTATAGCTGGTTTAAATATAGATAAACTAACATACCTGGAAAATAATACTGAAAGCCCCACTAAGTATGCTGCTATGAAGCACATTACGTTCCATTTTCTTTCAATTGTTCTAACTTAATTTATTATAATATAATAAATGTCTCATTATATTAGGCACCGGGAATAGAAGTAACAATTTATGGACGCATAAACAAGTTTCAGTGCAAAACACGTCAATGCTTTAAACAGCTGATCTTAGAAAAAATTCACAATAAATTAGTAGGGAAAAGTTGTGCTCAGTTACTTAAGCGAAGTAGGGGCATTGTCGCTTTATTTACATTTGTACGTTGTTTTGAGATTTCATTAATAAATTTAGCTTTAAATAATATAAAAATGGTTTATTGTTCAGTACCAGGATGTGAAAAATTCAACAAAAGTCAAACTAAACGATTTATGTTTAGCTTTCCCAAAAAGAAGGAATTGGTACAAAAATGGCTTGAAGCGATACCTAGTTTAGCGCGGCCTGTTAAAAGTTCTTGGCGAGTATGCCAATACCATTTTCAACCAGAGGATATTTTAAAATCATTCAGCCACACCATTGGCGGAGAAGTGTTCGTAATAGAGAGGGAGAGACCCAGGCTGAAACCAAATGTGGTGCCAACAAGAAATCTTCAAATCAACACATTTGTTAGTGCAAATAAAAAATCTCATAACAGAATCAATTAACAATATTGATATTAATTATATACCTATGCATTCATTACAGATTGGAAACAACGAGCGAGAAACCAAATCGATAAAGAATCATATATCGCATGTATTGAAACAATCTAAAGATACTGACGCCTTAAATAGAAGATCCATTGCACAGTTAAACTTGGCCGGTAACCAAGATGCTGTACCTGGAGAGAAGTGTGAAAAGGCATGTGTGCGCAATGTTGAAATAATAAAAGTTCAACATGAATCAAAGGATCCTACAGCCGTTGCAGATATTTTGAACAGAACGTCAGAATTTCTAGAAGAGGACGACGAGCAATTTGAATCACAAAGTTTTGAAGACATTACTAATGAGTGTAACCAAAATCTGGATAGAAATGATGGAGTTATTATTCTACAAGACAAAGAAAATACCGAAAGCAGTTTAACTGACAATAAGACCGAATACCTTGCCAACTGTTCAAATCCAATAGCAGAGATAGATTCCTTTGACAACCTCTTTGACAGCGTTTTTGAAGTAGTTTTGCCTACAACGCTGTGGGGAGTTCATCGCTCTCCACAGCAAAAACGGATAATGTTCGTATGTATAGATGAAGAACAATTAAATGTACAGAAAATGCTAATAGTGGATGATTCAGGCGACCTAAAAATGTATTTAGTGAGCAGGCTGATCCGCGAAGAGCATTGGCCAGTGGATATTTTAACGCCAGAGCGTATATCGGATATGCTTGCAGAGTTGGAGGCAATGCAAATATGTCTCGGAGCAAATTTGTCTGAAACTTGTGAAGTTCTGCTTACATATGTTAATCGCGATGAACAAAGAACACAAAGATTATGCAAAAAGTGCTGTTAAAAATGTATTTATAAGTTTAATAACCACAAAAAGGCATAAAAATATGTTTTTTCAGTTGAAGTTAACAATTTTAATAACAGAAATACATATGAAATAGAAATTGTATGCAGGAATAAACCTAAGTTATTTTAATTAAAACTTTCTGTCAACTTACTTCCTTTACTCTGGTATTTTTAAAGCGGCGAATTCAGTACTTAATATCTTCATAACATCAACATGTTTGAGATCGGGGCGTTTGTATAGTTTATAATTGTCCTTGACAAACTTTGCAAAACCCGTTGGTTCGCGAACTGGTGTAGGCAAAATGTTGCCATCTTTATCCTTTTTATTTAAAAATATCTCAATGGCACCATGACAAAAAGAGCACCGTATATTTTCTACTTTCTTCGATTTTGAATGAGCGTGCGATCTGTGAGAAAAAAGTATTGGTTATATATATTATTAACAAAAAATATCTTATTATAACTTACTTTGCGCCGCATAAGGTGCATTTGTAAGTGTATTTATATTCGATATCATACTGATGGCACACACCAATTTTTGGTATTTCTGGAAAAACTTGGTTAGCTTTCAATGCCCTGAAAAGAAAATGTCTTTGTTATTATCGTTTCTAAAAGTTTAAAAAATTATTGGTACACTCGTATTGCCATTATAGAAAAATAAGCAATATGTCTGCAACAATATTTAAATTGTAATTTATATTCGTTTTTAAATTTAGTTCATGTAGTAGTAGTAAATAAAAAACTATACATATACCATTGCTTCCAAGTACTACCATGACCACCTTCCCCATTAAATATCCAAGTAGCGGCATGACATAATTCATGTAGTAATGTACAACGCAAACGATCAGCACTAGTTAGAACTTTTTCACTCAACTCTATTACACTTGTTCGAGTCCCCATTCTACAATTGATATCAGAAAAAAATTATCCATATATATATATATATATATAAATATATATAATAAACATACATATATATATATATATAAATATATATAATAAACATACATATATATATATATATAAATATATATAATAAA